CCCCAAAACCCCAAAACCCCAAAACCCCGTAAGAGTAAAATATATCTTAACTTAAGGTTTTAAAAATAAAAGATATAGGATCGCATAAAATAAATCTCAGCAAGAGAAGTAACCCAAATGACGATCAGCAATTTCACTTCTATCTTTGAGTATTGGCCATTCTAAACTGCCACTTTCATAGACTTTTTCCCATTTAAATTTGACATATGACCAAGATTTGAGAGTTTTATTGTGTAGAGCTTAGTGAGACTACAAATCAATCTTGATTAAGTTACTAGTTAACTCCTCCAAGTAGCTTTCAATATTATTGATAGAGTCTAGCTATGATCCATCAGTAAGATAAAAAGGATTAGCAAGAAATTCATGCTTGAGCATAACAAGATCCTTTAATCTTTAGACAGCAAATCTTAGTCCTTTTTCAAAGTCTGTTAATTCTTTTATATTTTCAATATCAGCATTCAATATCTTGGTCAAGTTATCAATTAATGAATTATCCCTAATCCAAATCTCACTAGAAGGTAACTCGAATTTCTTATTCTCAAGGTTAATATGAACAAAGAAATCCCTGAAAAGCAATCGAGTATCCTCAATATGTTTTAAACTAGATTCTTCTGTTTAATGAATTTACAGACTGAAATATGATGGAATATTTTCTGGTAGTTCTATTGACCAAACACTAGAAATATCTCTCTGGGTGTTATGAGGTTTTGCTACAACGTTTGGATATTAATCTACTTATTTTCCAACATCATTCAATAGAGATATATTCAAGGAATTAAAATTCTTCACTTTCTAAGATAGACCCAACACAATAAGATCATGGCCATTTTCAGATTTCTCAAGAGTTAAACTTGCGATCTAAACAGGTGATATCAAAGATATCAGCCATTCATGATAGTTCCAAGGACTCTAATCTTTAGGATCAGTAAAAAATGCATGCTTAAGCAATGCTAAGTCATCTTAGATTTTGTCAAATGGAATCAAATAGTCAGTATTAACAGTTTTATACATTATTGGCATCAATTTAGATCTGTAATGCCAAGCTGAGAAATTTGAGAAGTTTTTCTTAATCAAAGTCTCTGCCATTTAGCATTCCTTTTCTAAAAATTGATTCTTAATTTTCAATCTGGCTTCCTCATCAAATTATGAAAGTCTTGATTCTTTTTCCTAGAGGTATTGCAGTGAGATTAATAGTCTGTAATTCCAACAATGAAAGTTTCTTTCATCCATTCCAAGCATCTTATCACAAAGTTTAAGTTCAAATTCTAGAACCTTTGAGACACTCAGTTACTTTAGCAATTCAGCTCTTCTTTCTTCTTGTAATTACATTTAAGGCTCTTTATTTTCCTCGTCATCTTTTTTCTCTAAGCTCTACTGAATCTATTATGCTACTTGTGTCTGCTCCACCTCAAGACCTTTCTGAATAATCCACTATCTATGAAACCACAAGGTATAAGATTTTGGACTTCTCATAATACTTTTAACTAGAAACTCTAACTCTTTAAATACGAATTCATATTTAGCTTTTAGGTTTTCAGGAGTCATCTCCTTGTATTCTGTATTAAAGATATGCTCAATGATCTCTCTTCTATAGTTCCAAAGAGTCTGAAAATCAGGAGAGAGTGATGAAAATTTCTCAGTTTACTCAAGACTAGCTCTATCGAAATCTTTATTGGCTCTTTTCTTCAATAGAGTTTGATTGATTGTCAAGATTTTTTTAAGTTTTACCTCAATTTCCTTTTTCTATTCTTCGCTTAATTCCTACTTTGCCTATCTTTTTTTCCCGTGCAACATTTATAATTCAATTATTATTAAGTTCTATGATATCTGAATAATTGAAAGATGGGGTTTTGGGGTTTTGGGGTTTTGGGGAGATCGGAAGAGCACACGTCTGA